AGGGTCTCTACGGGGCATTGATTCTTACGGTTATCAGTTAAAAATTTTGGCCATTTTAGGTCCAGCGGTTAATTTCTCTTCGTTGCAATTAAAAGATGGAATTTTTTCGGTAAACCTTTTTTACGACTAATGGTTAAATTTATCACTTATTACCCCTAACAATTAATTTTTTCCGTTTCATGGCTAACAGATAACCCTTTTGAGACCCCCCTACCTTTGGGTCAAAGAGGCAATTCATATAAGACTTCACCCTAACGACATCAACAGGGATAGTGGAATAGAAATTCCAGAAGCGTGGATGCCCACAATAAAAAAAAAACAAAACAAAACAAAACAAAAAAAAAAACAAAAAACACCGCCGAGGGAGCAAATCACTGAGTGAAACAGCAGGATCGAAATGCACCAATCAGGGCTGTTGTAAAAACAACTAATCACAGCAGTGCATCATGCTTTATAAGATCACGCATGACCAGTCGACCCCATCGCCTGAAGAAGACTAGCAGTATGCAGTCGAAACGTCGTGATCTACATCACACGTGACAACATCGTGAGACAAACGAAAAAACTTGGCTTTTATTGTTATTCACCACGATGAATAACCACAACCTTTTTTGCGAGATTATGTACCACTTCAAATAGAAAACAGAAATTGAGTTCGCATCTGCCAAAATCTTTGATATTTACACACAAAATGGTGACGTGAAATGCATCTTTACAAAATGCACAAATCCGAACCGAAATTAAAAGTTTTCATGCCAAAAAAAGCTTCGAAATAGAGGTGATGATCGTAGGTACTGGGTAGCTTGTGAATTCGAAAAAGTTTTTCTTCCAAGAAAACTTTTAACTCTGTGCTACACCCGTGACGAGACGAAAAAACGTCCTTCTCCATCTCATCATCAAGCTTAAAATTCACCATTTTTCTTATGCTGTATACGCACATAATGCCTTTGACATTGCAAATCCTCGTAGTATGCAGGACGCGTGTTAGATAAGAAACTCGTAATGGCTTTGCTGACGGTATAGAGTCTCTTTGGTAGAGAATTGGAGCGTGGAACCTGAAGTTCTGACGTTCCGACGATTCCTTATGGGGACTCAGAATTTTTCCTTTGTCTCACGCTCATGGCAAGACGAAAAAACGTCTTTTCCATTATTCCTTACACAGTTCTGTAATGAGATGGTCAATGCGCAGCCCGAGAAATTCTAAGTGTCACAATTCAACTTTACATGCCGAACCGTCTTTTTCTCTGGAATTCAGGTTGTGGTAATAAAATATGCAGGCTGAAAAAACTAACACACGTGGCATTATCAAATTGCGATCTTTGCGCCTTGTGGCGTGATATGTTTGTTTTTCCGAAGATTTATTGAATTTGTTAACAAAGGAGGTTCTCTAGAAGTGAATTTAAATTATCTTGTTTACTAAAAGAGTAAGCACTCCCGCATCATTGTACAAATGATTGGCGTAACTATTCTCGCAAGAAGACCCCAAACAAGCATTGATTATTTAAAGCATTCATATAGAGTAGTTTGCTTCAGAAACCAAATGACTTTAAGCTTGTGCTTTTATTTGCATTAGCGTTAACCATATCATTGATACCTCCACTGCCACCTAAGATGGTATCTGGAAGTTTTGCGGCAATGCAAGTTCATTTCTCTGTCACCTTTTAAAGTTCGCCCCCTGCAGTAAAATGAGTTCGCCCCCATATTCAACAGTTCGTTCCTCAGTCTTTTAACTTGTTTCCTTATGGCATAACGCGTCCCTTCTCTGTCAAAATCACAATATATTTTGACCAATATGCAATTTTACAGCGAAACCGTAACAACCTCAATCAACATGCAAATTACTAGCTGCATTAAGCAACGCATGACTACTGCACGGCCGCCAGATAACTCTGGTCTTAAAACTTAAAGGAGCCCACACATATCCAGAGGTAGTTACCAACGTACGTATTTCGTAATTTGATATTTTCACTCGTGTTACGTTGAGCCTAACGTTTCAAAATAGTGTGTTTTATTTGTCAAGCTTGGCTTTGTCTCAGAAAGAAAATTGCATGTTACTCAAAATATATTATGATTTCGATAGAAAAGGAATATTTTCTGCCTTGAGGAAACGAGTTCAAAGATTTGGGGGCGATCTGGTACAGGCTTGGGCGATCTGGTACAGGCTGGGGCGAGCTTGCAAAGGTTGTAGGGACGAATTGGCAATGAAGTGAAACCTCCACAACCCCCTAAGATGTACTAATAAAACATTGCTCAGCAACTTTCTAAAAAGTTGGGTTGAAAAATGCAGTTTACTCAGATCTTTTTTCTGTGAAGATAACATGTACTTATTGACTGAGTGAGAGGGCTGAACAGAAAAAATATTTGGTTCGAGGTCATGACGTACGGACCGAGCGCACCGGACTCTGTGCGTCAAGACCGAACACTGAACATTTTCCCGTTCGGCCCGACCAAACTCAGTCAATAAGCATTTTATCACTTTTTCGACCCCAGAATGTTGAAAATTCCGAAAATTTTGTTTCAAACTAGATAGGATGTGATAGACGGGCGCACGCAGGAAAACCACAAAGAGATTCTACAATAAAAAATGTCCCTTTATAATGGTTTTCTCGAGTCAGAACAAGAAACTCATCGAAAAGCGCGAATTTTTCACTTTTTTTTCTTTTAGTTCTGCAACAGAGCCGCGTGATTGCAGGGCCGGACAACTCTTTGCTCTTTATCCATAACTGAAACAAGTATTCCCCAACGAGTTGATTCAGACTAGATAAGAACCTGGTTAAAGACCACCTGTCATGGCTTATGGCTTATTACCAGAAATCAGTGACGGAGTACCTTATATCAGTTATGTCAAAAAGTTATGTTACATTCATCTTTTTTTCGCGACATTCTCTTTCCTTATTGCAAATCCATCTAGAAACAAAGAAGAAGATAAAAAATACGCTTTGACGTGAAAGAGTTTATTGAAAACAAATATGCTTATTTTAAAGCAAAGAAGGACAAGAATCTCTTTGAAGTAAGAGTGAATTCTTTCCTTCACTAATTTCAACCTAAAAGTAAAGAATAAATTTAACTGTTTGTGGCTTTATTTGAAACTGCTTTTTCTGGATCTGTAATATTTGGGTTTTTTCCTTTATTTTCCTCTCTTCCCATTCTCAGTTAATAAAAAATTTGCTTCATCAAAAATAACAGGTTCAAGTTGATATAGAAGTCAATAATAAACAGGTGGAAACAGCGAATAAGTGTCAAGTTTTATACTCATGGCCCTTTATAAACTTCCTATTAGCCTCTGGACTTTCGAGTGTTCTCCCAAAATCGAGGTCGGTTATTACACCGGTAAACCGATAGAAAGTATGGTAACTATGATTTTACTAGTGCAATAAGCGATGGGTTTTTGACCAATCAGGGAGTTCGTACTATCGTATTTGATAAGATTACATCCGCAACGACTTCTGCTTCAGAACCACGTGAAGAGGTGATCAATTTTTTTTCCATATTTTTGATCGAGTGACAAGAGTTTTTAATTCTTTGAAAGAGACCTTCATTGTCAGAACGTTTTTTTTCGTTAATTATTTTCAATTTCGATTCTTTTTCAAGCGACCTTTCGCAGTAGTCGTCATTTTATGTCCGGTGTTCTTTGGGAAACCTGAGAGCAATTGTTTATGATTAACTTAAACGAAAGCTTTCGTTACAAATTATTCCCAACTGTAGCGATAACTTGTTCGATGGCTTTTATTTGAGTTTTACCAAAACAGTTAATCTTAGATGCCATGACATTTTTTTGTTTTCAAATCAATCAACTAACACTGAAGTCCTTTTGTCACATTTGCTAAGGTATAGAACGGTTTTTTCTTGCTTCCAAGTCAGGCATATCTGGTGACACTATTGGACTGACTGGAGACCTTTTCCGCTTGATGAAAATCAATCCGAAAGGAATAACAAATGCAAACATCAGAACCCCGCCAGTCATGTAAAACGAATTAACATAGTTCCCATCTTGGTCTGCCATCAAACCTGTGGTAAACAACACATACAAAAGAAATCAAGATTGCAGTGTGTAGATAACGCATTTCAAAACAAATCTCTCAAAGGATAAGCCCCTTTCATAACAAAGTGACGGAATTTGTTTGTTATAAAGGGACTATCTTACCAGCAATAGGTCCACCGGTAGCCACCGAAAATGAATAAAGCACGTTAAGGGTACAAAATGAAGCTGTAGCTCTCTCTTTATCCACACAGCTAAGCAAGATGTAACATTGTGTGGTTATGAAAATTCCATCACTTATTCCAAAAGCACTGCTAAATGCAACCAAGGCCCAGTATGTAGTTGCCATAGGTAACAGGAGCACACATACACCGCCGATAAACAGCGATGACTGATAAACAAATACTGGATTGATCTTTGGATTGTTACACAGTTTTCCGGACAGAATCCGCGCAAGAGATGAGGTAAGGCCAATGAAGACTAACAGTCGAGAGGCACTTTGTGCCGCGATACCAAGATCATCACAGTACTTGACCTGGTTAAAGTTAAGACATATACCTTGTTATAAAATCCCTAATGTAGGACACGGCATGAAAATGAGGCAACACAGGAGTTTGTCATATCATATCGCATCTAAATTTGAAGATCTTAGTGTTTCCAAGTTGTCTCTTCTCAAAGAATGTGAAGGTGACGTCTATTGAATGATTTCGGAATCTTCCCGGTTTTAGCTTAATTTGGTAGTTCTGTCGTATTTTGTGCAGTTATCTATATGAAGCATCTCAACCAGCTAGAATTCTAAACCTTTTCAAATGATTGACTAATCTCACGTTCCTGCCCAGCCGTCAACGTTTTTGGCACGGCCAATCGTTACGAGACTCAAACCATTCTCAAGACGTCATATATATATGATGCACTTTTAAAACACATATAAAAAAATATTTTCTCATCTTCTTTCAGCGTCAAAAGTATATATTAGCAATAGAAAATATCTAGATTATTGATATTAGCTATATTATAGACTGTTGTATTCTAACCAGATTGATGTAAGGAATATACAGTCCAAAAGATCCCACCATTAAAGAAATGGCGACGAAAGTGAAAACAGGAAACGTCCACACGCTGCAGTAAGAAAAGATGCTGCCCTTAATTCCTACTTTTTGCCCCTTGTCCAACGCTTCTGCTTTTACCTCCGTCTCCATTGTTGCTTCAACTACGTTTGGATTGAAATTCAAACTCAAAATGCAAACAAGAGCGAAGGTTGCCGTCATTATTCTAAAGGTGTTTCTCCATCCAAAAGCGTCCAAAAGAAGCTGAAGTAACGGGCCTGTGTAAAGGACACCCACACTCGACCCAAATGCCGTTATACCAACAGCTAATGAGAGTTTTTCATTGAAATATTTTCCAACTATCAAGTAGACAGAGTTACATATGAAGCACCCTCCCAAGCCGTACACCAAACCATAGGTAAAATACATCAGACTGAGGCTGTTGGCGAAGGAAGTTGCTACCAGACCTATCACGCATAGCAGTCCTCCTAAAAAACACGTTATACGACATCCAAAGTGATCGCACAGGTATCCGGCCGGCAAACTGGCAAACCAAACCATGGCCAGGCCGATGGAACCAACCCAGGCTGTCAAAAAGATGATTTTCAGTGATATGAGTTCCTTTCATTTCATTTGTATAATTACCGATACAAAATCAGCTGGAAATCTTTAGGAAAAACATTATTGGGGCATAATTTCCCTTTGTTTTCGTTTTCTCACTTACATTTCATTGTGTGCTTTTTTGTTGCTCTTCGGTATTTCGTTAATTACCTTTGTTACGTGCTGTGTGTAAATTTAGTTATATAGTTTGTTATCCCGCCCCTTTCTTTTTACCAGAATTTTTTCGTGTCTATCCGTGGAACAGTATCCGTAGCAGTAGATTTTATCTTTTTCTCGGTTTCCCCAGCATTTGGTAAGCGGCTTTATTTTCATCGTTTTCTTTAATGTCTTTTTGGAATTTACTTTTTTATAACGTTAAAGTGAAACATTTGCTGAGGCATCGTGTTGTGTTTTCTTCGAATTGGCCCTTGCCAGTTCAAACATATCATAACGGTTGTTGACATTTCAAGAGAAATGATTATGTTCCTCTTCAGACAGGATTCAACAACAACCATGCCATCTGAGATAAACAGCCATGGTGTTATAGTATTTCACTAATGCCAACTTGCATCTCATCGATAAAAATAAGTCATCTCAGGGCGGTGCGTCTTTTCTTTTTCAAAAACTGCCTAAGTCTAGTGTGGCAATCCCGCATCTTATCTGCGTTATGAACCAAGACACAAGTGGGTCACGTATTAATAGAATCTAAGAGTTTTGTGAATTATTACAAAAATTTACATACTAAACATCTGCGGCTTTACCACTTGGTCAAGCAAGGTCACTTTGGTGGACATTCCGTAATAAATGTTTAGAAAACCTGAAGGAATCATTTCAGTTGATTTGCTACGGCACTCCATTCTTGGTTTTCCAGTATCACTTTACTAAACTGATACAAAAGTTCTTTTACATATGACTTTTTTCGATCCGCAGCTCATACAGCAGAAATTAATTGCAGTTGATCTTTAGTTATCAACAGAGAACCACAAGCTTATACTTTATATGAAAGACTCCCTCATTGGTACTCTGCGGGGGGAGGACTCTTCAGGCCTAAAAATCTTAGGGCCAGTTATTTAAACGAAAGCTGCCGAAGGCCGTAATCAAAACAAACAGTGGATCACAAAAATTAATTTCGGATGCGTTGTTTTTTAAAAATGAACGATCGTCTTCATCGTATACGACAGGCCTTTTTACTGACAGTTTGCAAAAATCAACGTTTTTAGACTTTTTAGTGATGAAGCGCTTGGCTTTATTGAACATGGTTTATTAGAACAAGGGTTTGCATTTCCACAGCTCCAAAATAAAAAGAGACAAGGAAAAAGAGAGAAGCATTGTCCTGTCGCTTCCGCTAAAGCTTGTTCGTGTTATTCATACTGGTTATTAACATAGTTATCTCATGGTGTGCCCTCAGGCCTAAGCCAGTGTTCTGATAAGAATTGAACGACAAAATCAGCGTTTAGCTTATAACTTTCCGTTACTGAAACAGATTTATCATCAGCATACCTGTCCTTTCTCTTGTGGCATTAAAGTGCCTCATCAACTCCGGGAACAAAGCTCCAAAACTGAGTGCAAAACCAAGGTTGATTGCATGACACACGGCCGCTGTAATACACACAACCCATGACCACGAGCTATCTTGGAACCTTTTACCACTAAAGAAACGCTTTAGCTTCTCAAAAGCGTTTTTGATGCCTTTTTCTCCATCCATTTGAGTGGGATTTTCCTAAGGTTTCGTTAAGAGAACTTACTAACTAGAACTAACTAACTCGAGTTACCAAAATCATGCGCCTCTGTAAAAAAAATAAAGCCCTTTCATAAATTCAGACAATGACATCACGCCAGGGGCGAAATTTGATAGACCAATCAAGTCTTATTTTTAATTTTGATCACGTTTTCTACAAACCGGGTTTATGCATGAAGGAAAGCGTACTCCGAAATCCGTCAGAAGGAGGTCACCACGGGTAGATTTCCGATTACGAAATCCGAGCTCCCCCGATGTTGTGCTCGTGATAAAGGCCCTATTTAGCATATTACACCCGCAAAACAGAGTAGAAATGAACGCGTGCTTCGTTTTTGCTCATGACTTCGTATTAGCGTGAAGATATTTGCATTTTTTTTCGTTGCTAACCTATATTACAGACTCCACAAAATTTTTGCGATGCCTCCTTTTCACGGATGGCCGATCACAACTACAACACAGTGACACCTCCACGAAATCTGTCAAAAGGAGGATGTTAAAACACCAGAGGTCATCTCGGGTAGATGCCTGATGACGAAATCCGAGCTCGCCCGATGTTCTCTACGTAATTGAAGGCCTTCTTTAGAATTTTAGAGCCAGTTACGTCGTTTTCGCTCATGACTTTGTATTAGCGTATTGTATTTTTTCCATTGCTAACCTATATGACAGATTCCACAAAATACGTTTGACGCCTCCTTTTCAGGGATGGCCGATCAAAACTACAACGTAATGACATCTCCACGAAATCTGTCAGAAGGAGGATGTTAAAACACCGGAAATGATGTTTTAAATACGAACTATCTTCGCACGAAATAAGGCATTGTAAACGGAAATACCTTTTCTTAAATAAAGCTTTTCAGATAAAACATCTAGGTACATGGTAAACTCAGTAAAAGCAACCACGCCCAAAACTACTAAAAATCTTCTGGATTTCTGATGAAATAAATTTAAGGTAATTACGTTCAGAGTTTAAGCGATATATTGTTATTTCTAATATGGTAATTGATTAAAAAATTGAACATTACCTCGATTGGACGGAGATTTAAGTATGAATATAATGTAGCAAGCGATATTACTTTTGTCGACAAGGATAATCCATGTCTTGTCTCAACTATTACATGTTCTCTATCTCCGTTGTGCCATGATATCATTGAAAATATTTCATGATAATATTTTTACAATATTTGAGATGAGGATTTTCAATTCTAAATGCAAGAGCGTACTTAGGGAAAGATCTACAAGATCTAGCTGAATTGTACATATATAAAAATTACTACATAGATGTATTTCACTTCGACGATTATCTTAATAAACAATTCATGGGAAGCTCTGAGAATCAGTTTTTAATGCCACATGCTAAATCAATGGTTATTTTTCTCTTCCTGCTTAAGGGCTCTTTCGCAGTTTTGGTGACGGTAGCAGTTTCATACTCTCGAAGAATGAACTCTGCTGACCTGACATCCTTCACCAGACCTGACCTTTCAGACAACTTTCTCTCAAACAAGGAACTCACCTCTTGCGAAGTTAATTTACGTGCCATCATAGAATTGGAAATTTTGTTCAGAAAGCGAAATTATCGATTGGAATACGGCTGAACGCTGAATACGAATTGAGTGAGCAAACAGATACTTCGATATCTCAGACGATAACAAATTTCCCGCCTTTGCGAGTTTGGACCATTCAATTGTCTGGGAGTTAATCGATCGTAACATTTATCTTTCCTCTCCATTTCCGGTGTTTTAACATCCTCCTTTTGACAGACTTCGTGGAGGTGTCACTATGACTGGCACTTATTGCGGAAGGTTTTTTAAAAACTTGTGGACAGCGTGTTGCCGCGCAGTTACGCGTGTGAGGATGACGCAAATTTGCGTCACGAACGAAAAACACTGGGATCTAGAGGAAAGTAAACATAACATTGTGGCCAATTTGAGTTACATTGGAAGTAGAGTGTGGATTGAAATGGCTATTCTGGTACTACAACAGGAGCGAAAGTGACTCTTTACAGATATGGAAAATGTGGCTGGAAAGCTCTTAAGTGGAGACAACGTGAGACAGTCATATAAAATACTAGAAGTGAGCACTGCTCTTCAGGTAGATTGAATCATTTTATCTCGACTTCTTGGTGCTTGTTTTAGTTGCGAAGCAAGCCTGCAATATTTTTTATTTATTCTGATATTCTTTACGCACAGTTTTTGATGTTTTACGGGATGTTTAAATACTTTCTCCACTGAAGGAACATCTGATCGAGTTATTGTCAATCGTGCCTGTTAGTACCTTGTACACTTTTTTTAATGGGGCTGAACACACTTCTTGATAGGATTTTAGTTAAAATCATTCGTTAAGAGATTATTTGAGGACAAAATTGCAGCTGAAAAGGTGACATAATAAAAAGGAGAATATCTAAGCTGAACTATGCTCAAGCCATGTATGATTACATGGTTTTATTCTTGATATTCTTGAATGCTTTCTTAGTATAGTTTAAATATTGCATCTATAGGCTTTGAATTCAATGCATACAAAGGAAAATGTTTGAATCTCAATCTTGAAACCCTAATCCCTAAGATAAATCTTGAAGTTGTTATAGTTGTATAACTAAAGTACATTGTATGTATGTCTATTATGTTGCAGTATGTGTCTTCAGAATGTCATGTTTACAAGATTGGAAGGTGGGTGAGGTCTGCACTCGAGGCTGGTGGCCCATTCAACCACAGATTATTCCTGTTTGGGTAGCATGAAGCAACTAGAAGTATTTCTTTCCCCCTTGGATGGGATGCTTATCCATCACAGATTACCCCCTGGCATTTTTCCAGCTTCCCGTTACAGTTTGCCTGTACCCATTTATACTCCAGGGTGTAGAGAGGTACTGTAACCGTTAAATGCTCTGCCCAAGAACACAACATAATGACCCTTCTAGGTCTTTTAACTGGATCTCTTGACCCAGAGTCCAGCTTGTGAACAGTTATGCCACTACATCTCCACATAATCAGAGGCATTGTGTATCAATAGTTTTACATATATGAGTTTTGATTTTGTTGATGCATAATGTATTGTCAGAAATATTAAAAATTTTTTGTCCTCTACTTGTTCCATGTGTGTGATATCTGCTAAAACAAATGGCTCCACACCTCATTGTTATTGCAATAAATGCTTATCTGTACTTGTTATGAGATGGTTGATGTCAATAATTTTTCATCTCCATTTTGGTGAATAATAATTCTTTTAAATTTATTGAGAGAACCAAAAAGTTTGTGACATGAGGCTCACTGGTAAGATTGCATTACAAAGGTTTTATGGCACAAATTATTAAAAATTACCTTCTATTGGTCAATACAAAATACATTTTTTAAGTTGAAAAGAAAGTTAAGTTACACACAGGAAAATGTTCCAAGTACAACATATATCATTTGGAGCCAATTTTCAGTACAGTAATAAAATCTTTACAAAGCTACATGCACTAATGACACAAGTGACCCCAACTGACCACATGGAAGCTCAATTCTCCAGTTTGTTAGAGAAGCATACACTTTCATGATATAGTTGACAGTCAAGAATTTAAAGCATCTTAATTTGTCTGAACTTCAATTTCTTTCTATTTCTCTCTATTTTGCAGGTATCTCTGACCCCTTCGAGAAAGAGGTGATTGAAAAATATCAGCCTTTAAGGTAGGGATGCTGAGAGTTGGTCCCCTAAAAAACAGAGAGAAGTGTGCAAAAACTGTTTTGGAAACTATACTGTATTGCTGTACTGAACAGATCTTGAACTTTGTATCAGAGATGGGTGACTAAAAGCTGACCTGCAATGGAGTCAGCTTCACCCATAAAGTCTCTTCCTCAGTCTTGATCAGGGATGCTATCAGACTTGGTCCACCAAAAAAGAAAGAGAAGAGTGTGAAAATTGTTTTGGAAACTGGACTGTCTTGCTGTGCTGAGCAGTTCTCAAACTGTGAACAAGAGACAGGTGACAAATAGCTGACCTTTAATGAGTCAGCTTCACCCATTAAGTCTCTTTCTCAGCGTTGATCAGTGATGCCAAGATTTGGTCTACCAAAAAACAAAGAGAAGAGCGTGATATCTGTTTTGGAAACTGGACTGTTTTACTGCGCTGAATGGATCTTGACTGTGTACAAGAGATGGGTGACTAACAGCTGATCTGTAATGGAGTTGGCTCGTTTTACCCATAAAGTTTCTTCGTCAGTCTTGATCTGGGATGCTGAGACTGGGTCCACCAAAAAAACAATGAGAAGAGCAAGAAAACTCTTTTGGAAACTGGACTGTCTTGCTGTGCCAAACAGATCTTGAACTGTGTACAAGAGGTGGGCAACTAAAAGCTGACTTGCAATGGAGTCAGCTTCACCCACTGAGTCTCTTCCTCAGTCTTGATCTGGGATGCTAAGACTTGGTCCACCAAAAAAGAAAGAGAAGAGTGTGGAAATTGTTTCAGAAACTGGACTGTCTTGTTGTACTGAGCAGTTTTTTAACTGTTTACAAGAGATGGGTGACGCACAGCTGACCTTAAATAGAGTCAGCCTCACACAAAGTCTCGTTCCCAGTCTTTATCTGGATACACATTTTTCCATCAAAAGACAAAGAGAAAGATAAAAGAGAGAAAGCTGTTTCAAAAACTGGTTTGTCTGAAGGGATCTTGAACTGTCTACAAGAGATGGGTGGCTAAAAGCTGACCCACAAAGGAGTCGGTTTCCCTCACCAAATCTCCTCCTAAGATGCAAAGATTGGGTTCACAATTAAAAGGTAAAAAGCTATTCTAGGCTGTGTCCTTTAATTCTTATGTGGGCCGGTGAATATTTTCCTAGCCCATGGAGACTAAGTAGGTCACGTTTTCTCAGTGAGGAATTCTATTTGATTGATATAGTAAAGTCCCACTCACTTTGCCAAAATAAAAACAAAAATGCAGGTTAACAGTAGGATTTTGTTTGCATTCAACAAAGTATCATGCAATTTGAAAGTTACCGTAAAGACTGAATGATGAGGTATTATTTTCCTGTTTCTTTTCTTGGATTCAAAAATCTATGCACTGGATACTGATGAACACGGATAACGTATCTGATTAAAATAAGTAGAAGTTATTTTTTATCATTCTTGAGAGTAGAGCAATTTTCTTTTCCAGGTTTCCGAAGAAATCTAGGCTTGCACGGGCGTAATTTATTTCACCAGTGGTTTAAAACCCTTAAACCACCTCCACCAATAAGATGTGAACCCAAAATTGATATTATTGTTTCTTGCTCTCGAGATTTAATACGAGTTTAATTTGGGGAAACTAACTTATTCGTACTCGATTTCGCGATTTTGGCGAGACAGTATTCTGCGGGTTTTTATTTCGCGATTTCAAGAAGCATGAAAGTAGAGAATCAGATTTCGCGATTCAAACGTTTTCAACTTCATTTTATTTTTCAAAATGTCTACTTTTGACGACTTCATGGAAGATATTCCAAGGAATTTGCACGAAACTAGCGACTCAGAGGAAGATGATTGGTTGATTATCTACTTCATACACGAAATTTTTGCAAATTTACTTCATTTGACGACAGAAGATACAAAACAGAACTAACCATTAAGATGAGTTAATGTGTATTTGTCAGTACATATCTTGTATGTGTTGTTGTTATTACAGTTTAATCATTTTTTTTCTGTGATTTGAATTTTCTTTAAGGGTAATAAAGTTCGCGTGTTTAAATCCCGCGAGGAATCTTTATTCGCGGGCCTTTCATGTCGTGAGTTTTTTGCATTCGCTAAAAAATCGAGATTAAATACCCGCAAAATTAAGTGCGAATGAGGTATTTTTTATTTTGGTGTACGCAAAACAATCAAAAAAGTATAATTATTAACTAATGATGAAAAATTGGTATTTTATTTTTGTTGTGTTTTATTTTTTTTGTGGTGAGTGGTGGGGGGGTGGAGTAATAATGTAAACTGTTAAAACTAAATTCCGTCCATTGTAGATTATACAGGGGGAGGGGTACTCGGGTTAATTTTTGCTGGGAATGTTGTGTTGGCCTCTTAGAACCCCTACCCGATTATAGTCTATTCTGTGGCTAATTATAGACCCCAACATAGTCTTTTTTGGGTGATGTAGCTCACATTTTAAATCCCTACTTACCAGAATTTTTTTACCCTCAAAATCTTGAAAATGTGCGACCCCATTCCATTGAAAAGGCGACTCCATTATAGTCAACAATCCTCATCAACCTAATACTAGGAAGTATCCCCTCCCCGGAGACTAAGCTATTGACTGTGTATGCTTTAATACCTACCATGGGGAACTTGTTGGGTGTTACAGACTTGTTTGTCATAAAGGAAGTGTGTGGGTAGGAATGCTCTACTAACGGCGCTGATAGGGGAATCCCCTAATAATGAACTCCTGCCTGTGTCTCCATAATGAACATTGAACGGTCACGTGATGGAGTACTGATTAATCTTCTGACACTCTTGGGAAATAGCGAATTCACTCCTCTTTGCCTTGACACGTGCTTATTTAAGAGAATGGTCCTGCATGTAGCGATACGTATTTATTTTTGAAATCGGCGTGGCTCACTTGTGGCGATGTTTTTTATTTCCAGATTGAAGTAGTACACACACTTCAGAGCAAGATATCTGGTCATATGAAAGTCTAGCACATCGCGTCCCTGTCAGATTGAAAAAGCTGTACAAATGGGAAGTTGGTTGATGCCCTTTAAAGTAGTTGCTCAACCGGATATTTTTGGTTATCTCCATCTTATCTTGAAATTCAAGCAAGAGAGAGTTGGATCCCAAAGGATTGGCTTACTTTCAAATGGAAGGAAATTTATAGAGGAAGGTAACAGTTCGCTTCTAGTGTCTTCATATTTCCTTAGATTTGTCATTTTATTATTCCAATATCAAGCCATTTAACCCTCTTGGCGAATGCGGCAGCAATGAAAGATCCAACGTTGACTTTTTTCCTGGCCAAGAATTTTTAAGCTCATCCGAATATTTGTTGGTCATTAAGAACATTCTCATGGTTTCGTTTGTGTTGTTTTCGTTTTTCGCGCAGGCCTTATGCGATCGACACCATACTCAGATGAGAACATAGTATGTATTCCGAAAACTCAAAGCCAAAATGCTATAAAATGAAATAATATTGGGATGGCAGCTCCCTTACTCAATTGTTTAACTTATCTCAAGAGGGGAGATTTTGCTCACCATTCGAATTTTCCGTCGCCCAAAACTACTACGCACCTCGCAAAGTGTCTGCGCCTATTATAGAATCGTCAGATAAGGTGTATGTGTCCACAGTCCACCTGAAAAATGTTTCTCTTTCTTTTCGAGGGTGCAGCACCCCTTTTACAAAGGTCTTTCAAATTCCACGTCTTTTTATTGAAGATAATTTACGACGGGGCACGTAGAACAATTGTTATCGTACCGGCTACTTTCATTAGATTTAAAGACTGAATTTGTTTGCATGTGCACTAGAACGAGTCTTTACGTTTCAAGAGAAGTCTTGAACATATGAATTCCCTTTCAAATCGTTCTTCTTTGACAAAAAAAAAGTTTATCCTTTCCAATTTAATCTATATCTCACGCAGTTTGTTTTTTTTTCCAATAACGAAAAAAATGGTAAAGAAAAAATTGCACAGCCCAGGTTGCAATTAAACTTTTGATTTGAATATTTAATATAAAACACTGTATACTATCCAATTTTAGACATTAGTATCTGAATTTATCGTGTGCTGAACCATTGCGCCAAATGATCAGACCTACGAAGTGGGTGGCAAGTCAAAATCAGTAAGTATATACACGGACTCTGAAAAAGCGAAACCTTCCCAGTTTATTTCCGAGTAGTAAAGTTGGTCTGCTTCTTTATGTTCAACTCTGATAACTATGTTATCTTAAGTTGAAAATGTGTTCACCTTTCACCTAGTTTTTGTGTAGTTGAAAGGAAGTTCACATTTTTTTGTGTAGAGCACAGCGCCGGTATCGTAGAGGTCATGGGTTCAAATCCCGCACAGGCCTGAATTTTTTTTCCAGGCCTTATTTTTATCGCTGCTTAAGTAGTGTTCATTACTGCGAAGATCGCTTTGATATTCACGTCTTTATCCGCAGTTCACAAATATGATTTTCATATATTCAAAGTCATTTATTCATTACTTCACGGGTTTATATCGAACCAAGATAATGAGCAATTCCTGGTTGGCTCGTTAGCTCAGTTGGTAGAACACTGCACCAGTATCGCAGAGGTCATGGGTTCAAATCCTGTACAAGCCTGAAATTTTTTCAGGCCTTATTTTCACTACTGCTCAAGTAGTGTTTATTACTGTGAAGATCGCTTTCATATTCACGTAGATTCAGCTATGTAGTAAATTTTTTAATATCTTGAATTTTTTATTTCCAATAAAGCGAAGATGGTTACTTGAACAGGCCAAGGAGACCAGGACACTTAATAATCTGGTGAGTATATCTGTTTTGGTGTAGTTGAACTCATATGTAGCCCCTCTCTAATAATATTTTATAACATAGCGCGCGTGCTTGCCCTATGTAAGTCCTATTGAGCCGCTATGAACAAAATCTTTATTTACGCACGCCCTTGCGTAAATAAGATAACGTGAGCATTTTTTGTTCATTGTCGCTCTGTTATAAAAGAATTTGCTCACGCTTTTAGCTGTGCGTATATCGAGTTATGATGCCCTTGGGAAGTTTGGAGAGCACTCAAAAAGCTAGAGTTGCTCTTGGCTGCGCCTCGAGCTACTCTTACGCATTATTCGTGCTCTCCTTGAACCTTCCCGCGTGCATCCATAACTCGATATACACACGCTAAGCATGAACAAATTCTTAAATAGAAAATTAGTTATTCGTTTATTTCTCTATATTTTGCAGGTACACTGTATCTCTATCCATCAACTATCCACCTTGGATCGAAATATCTCTTCGTCCTTGTGGTGCACTGACGACAGCCCTTTTACCCAGTTCAGTAGACTGTTTGATAGATTGCGCCCTTGTATTTATGATTTGATAGCCTTAAGGTTGCTCGGTAGTCGCTCGCTACTGTTGATAAAACGCCAAAGTTCAGGACTGAAGTAGCGAGTATCATTCAGTTATGAGTCATGGATACGTTTAAGCTGAGCTTGCACGAATATCATGATGTTAATCACCAAAACAAGATCTCTGAACCACAGGACACAAGTTGTGTCCCTTTCTCATTGATTTCGTTGTACGAGGCAATCGAAGGCATTTCTGAAACATTTCTGCCTTAGGTGAAATCTTGGATAGTTGCATGCCCCCCTCCAGAGTTATATTGCGCCAGAGTATTTTCCCTTAACTTAACCTTTAAAGAAAAGCTCAAAACCCAGCCTTAAATTTTGTTGGAGGAAACGAAAAAGTGGGGGGTAAATGAACTGAGCGAAACACGTATATATTAAGTAGAATTAATATTTTGTAATATGACTGAACTATTTAATGAAAACAAAGCGTCATAAGACCTGTTTGTGTTCGTCTCTTCTTTCAAAGCGATCGATGTTCACTCACACGGTTTGCGCTTCCTGTTTGTGCACATTACTATCATAGTTCAATTTTCAGATAATCAAAGTTACTTTTGGAATTTTCATACTTAGGTAATGAATAGCGTACCGGATATTCTTAACGCACAGGACACGACATAAGCGTTATTGGTCGAACGCTGACTGATTAGATGGCTGGAAATTGGTCAAGTTCTCTCTGCATTGCGTTTTTCTTTAAATTATATTATACAGTGCTCGTCTTTGTATTTGAAGTTTCAATGGCTGCAATAATTTCCTGCTGGTCTACAATGTTGCATTTTTTTGGCTTCAAAATTTTGAGCAGGATTCACGTGGATGCTAGTTACTATAAGTTCTCCTAGAAACGAGCAATTATGTGAGTATAATACTTGGATGATCTTTGGGCGCCATTACCCACAAACCCCTTCCCAGTAGGTTTCGAGATGGCTGCCGCCCACTCTCTTTTAAGCTTCATAGGGAGAACCTGGGAAAAAGAGAACAAGGCAAGTTGAGCTGGGTCATTGGAAAATCTCATCTTGGACACGGCCGTCCTACTTTACAAAAGACATAAATTTTAGCCGCCATATTGGCCGAGGAAGGCGTGAAGAGCCTGAAAAAGTCATACCCAGTTCTTGTTCTTGTAAGTGCTCCCTTAGTTCCTCGTCAACCAGGTCTGAAATTGTGTCATCTGCTCCCTTATGACTAAAACCGAGGAGGATTTTTCTTCTTTTTTTATTTTTAGAGAGAAAAATGCGAAAAGCGCTCGGGAAACAAACCAGAGAGGCTGAGAGCTACTAAGGTCCCTAACGGAAGTGACGGCCAGGAAATATTCAAATGCATCAAAAAACGCACCTTGAAGGCCATTGTTATATTTAGCTAATCAATTTTCACACAAGCATGTAACTGAGCAAAA